TGTTCGAGATGTGAATCTCGAGTCTCTCCGACGATCGATCGGTGTTGTTCCTCAGGACACCCCCTTGTTCAATGACACCGTTGAGCACAACATTCGCTATGGCTCTATCAACGCCACCCACGATGAGGTTGTTGCCGTCGCCAAGCGCGCTCATGTCCATAACACCATCCAGTCGTTCCCCGAGGGTTACGACACCAAAGTTGGTGAGCGAGGTCTCATGATCTCCGGCGGAGAGAAACAGCGCCTTGCTGTTAGTCGGCTCCTCCTCAAGGATCCTCCTCTGCTCTTCTTCGACGAGGCAACAAGTGCCCTGGATACCCATACTGAGCAGGCTCTCATGATGAACATCAACAGTATTCTTAGAGAAAAGGGCCGAACAAGTGTTTTTGTGGCTCATCGTCTCCGAACAATCTTTGACTCGGATCTTATCATTGTCCTCAAGGAGGGACAAGTAGCGGAGATGGGCACTCATCGGGAGTTGATCGATCGTGATGGCGTTTACGCCGAGTTGTGGAGTGGTAAGTTGGAATGGTTTCGAGCTATTCGTTTGCTAACAATGTTGCAGCCCAGGAGACGAGATTCCAGGAGGATGGAAATGAGAAGGATGAGGCTGAGGAGGAGAATGATGGTCAGAAGAAGAATTAAACATATAGTGCCCCTAGACGGCACATACCTTGATTGGCGGCTGACAAGGTGCAAGATGAATACAACTCAAACTTACCACAAGAACCAGTGAATTGATGTAAATGATATCATTGGTCAAGAGGGACATGCTCTGTTGGAGTCGGGTGTGAGGTAATGAGTACAAGTAGTCGCCATCTGAAGAGGTCGGGTTGGGCGTCGAAGATATCGAGGGTCACTCGCGCTCTGGAAAGTTCGTCGATAAGCGAGCCAAGAAGGGCTATATAAAGCTCGGGCTTCTCTGACCTTTCATCGTTGTCACTCGGCTGTCCAGGGGCACCTTGAAGACTAAACAAGATAACCAGACGCTAAGCCGCTCAGTTCGTATACAGCACTGTCCTCATGTGCCCTGCCCATGGCACAGATACACGAGGGCCGTGGGCCTTAGCCTCATGGATGACTACGAAGATGAGGACCAAGTCCCTTTGGAAGTGACACCATCGACCTTCGACGCTTCTGTCGATTCTTTGCCTTATTGGAGCGAGGTAATCCGAGGCCGGTCCTGTTGGAACTTGAAAAGACGCAAGGCCACTTGTCGATCACATCTTAGCCTGTTGAAAGACCAGACTTTGGCGCCAGTTCTTTGGCTGCCCATTGTGCAGTAGCGCGCCACAGTAGTGGCATTCCTTGATATGTTCCTACTGGGCGTTGTAGTTGTTGTTATATCTCTCGCTCGTAAGTGCGGTTTGACTTGTTAGAATTCATCGGTTCCGGGAAGGGGGGGTCCAACTCGGGTTTGTGGAGGTTTGTTCGACGTTCGTATCGCTGGCAGTCTGAAGTCCCTTTTGAGATACAAGTTAACTCAGAAACGGCACCGGGGTGTCATGTCGGGGTGTAAAGTACTCCAACTGTGTTGAGACAAGCGGATTATTGCTACCAAGTTCTGTAGGGGAGCATCTACTACAGTTTGACAGAAGATGGCAAAGTTACTAGCTCAGAAGATGCGACCCTGGCATCGTATTTGAGCTTTCTTCTGTTCACACTGAGTTTGCTGTTCAAGAAAGGTCGGGCAGAGTGACAATCCGTCATGTTCGAGTGCTGGCCATTGAGAGTCCGTAGTCTACGTCCGATCGTTGCCGCAAAGCCTCAGTATCAGCTGTTGTACGGCGCACCTGGTGTGTGAGCCAAAGTCCTCTCATACTGAACCCAAGTCGCTAAACAACAGTCGCTCTGTGATATCGGGTGGAAAGGGGTTACAGCTGGGTCGTGGCAGTAGCTTTTGATTCCATAGCTATCTTTCTGTAAGCATCGTCTGCGTACATGACGTCGTGATAAAGGGGCTGCACTTACCACAGCAAGAAGATCAACACTTCCAAGTGAACCCCTCTTGTCAACCCGAATTTAATCTTGTGGCTAGCAAAAGCGTCATTGACGAGGGCAATGACCCCGGGCTCTCCTTGGACCTGAACATTGAAGCTGCCCGCCGAGACGTTGACACCCTCGAAGACTCGATCCCATATTTGTTTAATTTGTATCATAGGCCGTTCTTGTTTGTTCATATCTGAATGCCAACCATCTCTGGCAATCGTAGAACCAGACAAGGCCAAGACAAGTCCCCGGGGCACTTGCTCGTCCATCGGCACTGGTCCGTTGAGATTCGTGTGAAACTTAACCTCATCCCGTACGTGACTGACCGAGTTCAACTTGCTGAAATGGAGAGACTCCTTGTGGAAAGGGGGTATTCTCTAAAGCTTCGACAAACGTCTATAAAGGTCTGGTTGTAGCGCTTGGTCGTAGACATAATGGCCCTCAGGACCAGTGGCGGCTGTGCGGTACGACTCGACGATCGAGGTGCCTTCAACTACGTCAAGATTCATGATATGTAACAGAATAGGACCGACATAGTTATCGGAGTACCTACAAACCAATCTTTCTGGGGTTGCTCACTCCATTCATGGCTCGTCCGGACCTGTAGTATCCAATTCTTGAGCCGAGATTGTAGATCGTGTAACGGCGCCGTTGAAACCAGCTATGCTGTCTCTGGCCGGCATTTAAGTCATGATGTTATTCCGATTTGAACCAGCTGCGAGAGATCTCAGAGCGCCTTCGTTTCCTGTTCAGAAAAGGGGCTCTAGGGACTCGAGTTACGGGGTTGCACAATCGGTTCTTGCTGTCGATACTTTCGCAGTCTAACGTTCGCGAGTCGTTCTGTATTCGACTGTTAATTAGTGGGCATTGCAATCCATTGCCTTTGTGTACTCACAGAAGCTTGGTTGATTCTCTTTCCGCCGTAGCGTTGGGGCCAGTCCGGATCCATTTGTATTCGCAACATCTGCTGGAACACTTCCGCCCCCTGTACTGAGTTACTGACCGAAGCGTTGGGCCAAAGTTTCGACCCAGTCGTGTAAATGCCAGTTGAATACTGAGGAAGCTCCCAAAAGGTCTATGGACCAACATCAGGATAAATCCCCTCTTGGGTAGTCATATGGCGCTCAGGTTCGTTTCGAACTCGAACTTGGTCTTCGACTCGGATTTGAGGTTGAGGTTGATTGTGTGCTGTGTGCTGTGTGCTTTTTCTGGAACTCGTTTTCGACAGGATTCGGCTCGTGAGCTGTTGGCCCACGTGTAAGTGTAAGAAGACTGTCGAATACTGAACAGGCCAGCGGTCTTCATGCTGAAGAGCGTTCATCACTAATCCATCACTTCAGGAACGCAGTTGCGGTCAGGGGGTGGCACTGTAAGTGTTAGCCGTGTGCCAAGTCCTGAGTAAAATGAAGCTCACTGCGAACTGATTCTTATTGAATCGTGTTTGACTTGGTAGTATGCTGTTCGACACTACCCTCCTTGGTGTTCAGGCTTCGGGGTATCTCAACCGGTACGGGCCACTTGTCAAGAAGATTTGTTGTTTGTCATAGGGTTGCGAGGACATTGAAAAGTCTTGGGCGTCATTCAGACCAGTGGTAGCGCCATGACATGGCACTTCTCGTGGGAAGAATTATGAATGGGGCTCTGCTCTCAACGCGATACCTTTCAGCATTGTGTTTCCTGTCGATTCCTCCCACCAAGGACTCGGCAAATATACCATTGCCTCGCGGTCTGGCATGCCAGTCACACTCTTCGAGATTCAGGTTTGGGACCGAATCGCCCTCTGCCAGATCCTTGAGCAGGTTCGGGCTATAACCAACGCATCTGCAATACGGAGACAAGCATCAATCCCGCATGAATACTGTAGAATGCCATGCGGTAGCGACAAAGCTTCCATTCTAGGCCCGCTGCCCGCAGTGATATTCGGTAGTTTTGGTCGTGAGTGGATTTTCTGCGCATCTGTAGGTTCATGATCTCTGGTCACTGCCATCTCTTGGCCTCTTCTGTAGCTCGGGGGAGGCACCGCCGTCGCGACTGAAGTGTTTCCCCATAGCGGCGGCTTGGTATCTACTCAAATTTCAGTCAGAGAAGCTCGCGAGGTCTTCGGGTGTCTGTGAACTTCGTACCTTGACACTCAGAACAAATCAGTGACCACGGTGCCACGCTTCGTACCACTTTCCCGTAACTCTTAGAAATTTGACTTAAATATTATCACAAGATCGTCGTACTCTCATACGATTACTTCGTTGCTGCGACGATTTGAGACAGCGCTCAGCATTCGAAGATTGGACCGCGAAGTTGGATATTGGACAACCTTTAGTGTTTGAGCCACGATCCTGAACAAGAGTGCCTTTTCATACCAACCAATGAGAAAGTACCCATTTGACATTTATACAATAAAACGAAAGCAGAATTTATAATCTACTTTACAGAATGTCCTCCGAGGGTTGTGTTTGATTTAATACGATAATTCACAAATAGTACAGGGTAGCCATCTTCCACTCAGAACCTCGAACCTCGCATGTGCGTGTGAGCAACGTCGTACACAATCGCAGACACAACTGGTAAAATTACAAAATTAGAACGAAACGAAGCAATTGTTTCATGTCCAGTGCTGCCGAGATAGAGGAGGACCCCTCGAAATATTGGAATCGGGTGAATGGAACTCGTCTGCAATTTATTGATTGACCCCTCACATGGAAGCGGTGGACGTTAGAATTCGGACACAGGGATCGACACAAGCCGATGAGACATAAGCTTGACCTTAGCCATAACACCTCGATCTCACTTTGCTTGTGATGCATGGACAACATGGCTGAAGGCAGTATAAGTGGAATATTCAATTTCTACCATTGCCCTCGTCTTCCTCCATCGCTGCCAAGCCCCCAATCTGCTCGTACACAGTAGTGTGCAGATTTTATATGCAGCCCACTTAGATCATCCATGCAACCTCACATAAAGAACACCTCACACTCACATCGCACTTACCACATCATCACCCTCACAAACCCGCCATGAAGATCCTCCTCCACTCTCACTTCCCAGCCGGCCATGCCTACCCAATGCAAGCCGTAGCCCAGTCCCTCATCCGTCGTGGTCACCAAGTAACATGGCTCACCAGCGCCTCCAACGAAGCCCGCGTCCTCGCCGTAGGCGCAAAGTTCGTCCCAACAAGTGCAATAGCCATCATTGACGAGCCCCTTATCGCCGCTAATGAAACTGGTATTCTCGACAAGGAGTACTCGCGGCTTCAGATCAGGCTTCTGGCGCAGGTGACGGATTACCGCCGGGTGTTGAGGGACTTTAAAGCAGATGTCCTGCTCGTCGATGTGATGCCGCATGGGGCGAGGGCTTTGTGCGAACTTGGTGAAATTCCGGTTTATGCGACGCTGGGGGTGATTCCGATGTACATGTCGAGTTGGGGAGCACCGCAGGCTGTTTCGGGGGAGGGTCCGGCTACGTCGTGGATTGGACTGATCTGGAATCATATTCTTCATCTTATTAGCCAGTGGATTCTTCTGCCGTTGCTTTTGAGGCCGATCATAAATGCCCAGAGGAGGGAATTGGGCTTGAAGAACTTGCCGTATGGGGAGCCGATTGAGTCTTTCACCTACAGCCCCTATCTTCACATTCAGGCGTCGTCTCCATCGCTAGAGTTCAAGCTGCTGCCGAAGCCGTCGCAACAGCGAGGGCATACAAAGTTTGTGGGACCGGTTGTTACCCAAGTACCGACCAGTCTTGCCCAGCTACCCCCTGAATGGGATGAAATAGTTGCGCACCCTCGGGTTGTTGGCATTACTCAAGGTACCTTAGCCATGGACCCAACGTCCTTGATCATACCTGCGATCGAGGCGCTCTGTGGTGATTCAGATCTGCTTCTCGTAGTAGCTTCGCCACATGTAGAAGAGATCACATCAAGGATAGGGGAGCCGCCGAACGTGCGATTCATCAGATGGATACCGTACCATCTCTTCCTCCCTCAGCTCTGCCTCCTCATCACCAATGGCGGTTACGGAAGCATAACACAGGCATTGTCTCACAAAGTGCCACTGATCTGCGCTGGACAAACAGAAGATAAGAAGGACACAGCAGCGCGAGTCAGTTGGGCAAGAGCGGGCATCGATCTGAAGACGGACAACCCTTCAACAGAACAGGTTCGAATGGCAGCGAGGACGATACTGGATGATCCAGGGTTCGTGGAGAGGGCGGGGCATCTGGGAGATGAACTCAATGAACTTGGCGGCGCGGAACGAGCTTCGGAGCTTTTGGAGGAACTGGTAGAATCTACAGCAAGATAAAAATCAGCAGTTGTCAACTAGAAGACTTGGAAGAGCGGGAAGATGGAAATATTGCCGAGTGGCAGATGGATAGACTTGGGCAAAAGCGGAGCGAAAGGAATACGACCACGAACACATCAAAAGATTTAGAACGAGATTCGATTCATTGCTAGAGCCTAATAATTCACCAGTCCGGTTCCATAAATCCGCCGTGGATGATGATCATGATATAACATCCTTTTTTTTTTGGTTACAGGTGACAATGTCCTGTGATTCAGATTCTGGAGAGGGTCAGTAAATGACGAAGACTTGAGACGACACACTCTAAGAGTCGAGATGACTTACCGTAAAAACTTCAAAAATGGCTCGTAGAGATCGTACTCGAGATACCGACTTGGGTATTGGTGAATGGTGCTTAGAAGGCAAAATCGTCCTCGTGCCATGGCCACGTGAACGCCAGGGGCCAGCGACGGACGACCATGGGCCATCCCCAGACACGGAAGATCATGATGAAGATGAGGACGACAATCCAGTCCGGCATGTTAAGGCAGATACCAGCGCCGCCGGGAAGGGGAATCTCAATGACAACGGCCATGATGAACAGATCTTGGAATCAACGAAAACTTGAAGAGCGTCTTGCGGCAGACGAAGAAGCAGTGCTTGAAATGCAGAAATGAAGAGGGGAAAGCGTGGAAGAGCTGAGTAGCAACGACGAGGTCAGTTTCTTACTGTTCAGTATGTTCAGGGGAAGAAGAACAGGAACATGAAAAGCACATACCAGAACAAATGTTCAAATGCTTGCAGCAGTAGAAAGAAAGCGGGCTGAGTACGAAAATGAACTAAGTGAAATTGCTGTGCGGTGCTTGTGTGGGAGGTAGAAAAGAGCAGGAGGGGAAGAAGTGGGAGTGTTGCCTTAAGGTAGTGGGAGGAGTGGGAGCGCGAAGGAGGGCGCCCTCTGACAGGCCAGTGCGAGAGATGGCGGTGCAGAACCCCCGGTACAGATGGCCCCGAAGTGCGAAGAAAGTATACAGAGGGTATTTACGACACGGTGAGACGATTCGACTGCGAATATGTTGTGTTTTTCGATATCACAAACGAGCTACGACGATCCTGCACTCGAGTGCATCCTTCGATACGATTCCCAGGCCCGAAACTGGATGAAGCAAGACGATTTCAGTCACGAATGGCATGCAATATCCATGAGATAGTCCTCAATATAATGTATCCTTCGTATCCGAGCTTGTATCCGCTGTATGGTGGTTTGGTGCCGATGTGACTGTCGAGCTGCAACGATCTCGCATCCGAGTGATTCCCTCAACGCGATTCCCAAGCACAACAGATCATTAAACAAGACGATTTAGTCCTAATGTAGCGTGAAACATCCAAAAGGTCATTGTCTACGTAGTGAAAACCTTGTATCTCGTCCTGCGCTATCCCTGAGGTGGTTTTGTTACGATGCCACAGGCGGACCACGATGCGAGCGAGCCACCAAACGCAAAACACAAGACGGAGAGAGGCAAAAATGTCCTTGGAGAGCACGAAATATCCGTAATATCATCCTTGATCTAAGAAATACGTCTCATTCCGTCCTGAGTCCTCTCCGCGTGTTGCTTTGCTACGATGCTCACTGGCGAGTCAAGATGCTGCTAAGTTTCCAGGGAAACCACGAATACATTTACGAGGAACGGCGATGCAAACGACTGGATAACTTGACGAAGCAGTCTGTAGTCAACGTCAAGATATTCACGAGTGACATGATCATCTGGAGAGGCGTATCCGGCGTCCCTCGAGCAACTGCGCAAGACGTCGAGCCCAACCGCCGAAACAACATCTCGCGATACCTCAAACACATCCCACGAGCGCTATGCTCCCCTCCATCGTATCGTACACCCACACTACGCACGCAATGTTCCCCTCTACGCGTATATCAGAACATATCACGGAGTCAAACTACAAAGCTAAACAACATCCCAGCATACAACAGTCACAGTCAAAGGAGGGTTTCTTCTTCAAGCCATCGCATAAAGCCGTGAACCCAATGAAAAAAGGTGGTTGCCCATGGGGCGGAATCAAAAAATTAGTCCAGGCCGCTTCAAACGGCGTCCTCACCTGCTGCCATAAGACACGATGAGTCCAGCCCCCGGGCTTCATGATCCCCGAGAGCCACTGGATGTTTGGCATGAGGGAAGAGAAAAGAAAAGAGGTCTGGCCTGGGAGGAAGGCCGGTTTATATGCCCAGGATGCCGGGCGGTGAGGGGCCGAGTGATCTGGGAGGCGGCAGTATCCCAGCAACAGATCAGACGGGAGAGTGGAGACGTCCGATCTGACAGCTGGTGACGTGCAGCGAAATGCTCCGCCAAAAACGGGAAGCAGGGGACCGTTGTGTAGTGGCGCGGGGCGGCTGGACGTTATATCAACGACGAGGCCGGACACTCGGCTGTGATCTTGCGACCACGCACAATAGGAAAAATGGTGCACCATTCTTGCGACGATGGGGAATCTTTTAGCTTCCGAGAGATATTTTTGAAGGTATTTTTAATTGTTGTTGTGGTTGCCCTGAATATTTTCGAGGGTGCGTTTTGAGCCTCATCCGCGTCCACCGGGGGTTTTGAGGAGCGGTGATGCGTCATTGGGCGGTAGTTGCACCACAACAATAGAGTGAGTGACTTGGCGATGTGAACACTGGTACTGAACTGTGAGAAAATCTATGTCACCAACAGTGATGCAAAAATGAATGAGTAATTGCAATGTGCATGCATTGAGAACTGTATTGACTACGAAGCTATGATATGAATTTACTTTAGGTACAACGGTGATGAATGCACAGAACACTCATCGAAGCGCTCAAATGTACCGGTGAACATCGCACAAAAATTGCAAGATGCATGGACTCGAGGTGGTTGAGCACTCGCAGAGTGGCTTGGCTTCTTCAGCAGGACCAAGATTGGCGAGGCGAGCGACCTACGTAAGCTCAGGACGTTTTTGGCCCAAATTACAACAAGTCTTGGCCAATATTAGTGCGGCTCTGAAGGTCTTTGGATCAAATTGCCCAAGTTCCCGTCAGCTTGGAACCGTCCCAAGTCACAAGCTCGCCCCCTTTCATTGGGGGAGCTCGTCGAGACAGACTCCCTCTGCGCGGCTCCGCACACGAGGGGAATTAAATGGAAGGCAGTGTAAATTATGTGATTGGCCCGAGAGGCTCTCGAGATCTCTGCACATCTGGAGAGCCCACTTGCCTGTGAATCACGGTCCGCTCGAGCTCAGGGCTTCGGGGCTCTGGCCCTCGCCTCGCTGCTACTGTTCCACGCAGCTCGAGCTCTGCGCGCCCACAAGATCAGCTGGATCCACTCTGGTTGGTATTTAATCCATCCTTCCTCCTCTTCATCTCTCTCTTCTTCCCCCTTTCCTCTTCAGCCAAACACAAACATATTTATCCCTCCTCACTCCCTTACCCTCTCTCTCTTCTATATCCATAATCAGTCCTCATCAACTGGACACACGACGGCCCCTCGAGCCTCAAGTATCCGTTCGTCGACACTCAATATGCCCAATGCGGCACTTTGCCCGCGGCTTTGTGGGGTTGGTTATTGGACTCAGGTTCAAGAGCCAATCTAACGAAGTCCTGCGCAGAGTGTTACCTTGGGCATATTGCGTTGTGTTTATGGCGGCGGCGGACTGACCCCCTGCCCAGCGGGGGAGTCTCCCGAGCCATTCGTGGCTCGGTGACATGGTAAGTTTCACTTTTCCTCTGGTCATGCCCTTTCATCTCCTCATCTGCTCCCTTCCCTTTATCGCACCTTGTGGTAACTCACACTTGCCCTCAGCTACCGTCACCATGGGCTTCATGGGCTAACTCAAGAAGACCAAGTTCAAAGTCCGCAAGTTCATGGCCAAGATCAATGTACGCCGCCTGCTGGCCAAGGACGCAAAGGCCGACAACGAGCACGGCCTGTCAGTCTCGAACGAGTGTGCAAGGTATGTTATTTTGACACGACGCTGACATCTCGACTCTGACCCTTTGTAGAACATCCAATCTCTTTACAGCCCAAAGCTTCCAGCAGTTCTTCACTGGGCAGCGGTTTGACCCCCCAGGCGCGTTGAACACCCTGGCACTCACCAACCCAAACGGCTTCGCAAGGTTTGATTGGCGTCGAGGTGCCGGCCGGTATGGCCGTGGCTCTCGTGGACTCGCCTCAGGCCCTGGTTGCATTGGAGTCACAGCTCGTCCAATTGTGCGAGATCTGCACTGTATGTATTGGTTTGAACGGGGTTCAAGTCAATGCATACAGTGTCAAACTTGCACACTCGTTCGAGCTGCGACTCCAACGCAACCGGGACTTTGATGGCAAACACACACTTGTCACACCACACACACACACACTCTCTCTCTCTTCACCGCACTCATGGGAACGCCTGGGAGGATTGGCTTGACTTGGCTTGGACTTAGACTTGGAGGACTTGGACAGGAGACTTGGGTACAATACAAAACTCAATCAAACACTTGAAACTCATCTTGACTTCTATCTTGATACTCATAAACTCGTGCACTTAGTGAATACTTGCCGCTCATCGTCGTGAATTCGTGACTGCGAAATCTCTGTTCGTCGCCACATATCATTGTAACTCCACTGAAACACGCTTTTCTCTCACTCAATGACTACCAGATCATCCTCCACGTCAATCAAATCCCCCGCCTGCACCAAAACAACCAAGCATTTTCCACCAACAGGACTACGAATCTCAACTTCCATCTTACTCGACTCAATACAGACCAGAACATCGCCCTTGTCTACAACACTCCCTTCTTTCACCATGACCTTGTAACATCGACCCGGCATCGTCGCCTTGACTCGTTCACCATGGAGACCCGAACTGTCCAGACTCGGGCTGTGTCCGTTGACAACAGACTCGACTTGATACGGAAGAAGCAATTCATTGACAAAGGGCGCGCTGGAAATGGCCCTTGCTTGCTGGTCCGCAGCAGCGGCAATGTCCTCTTTGTTCGTCGTAAGCCACGTCTC